TTTTTTTTTGACACAAAAAAAATTGTTTTTTAATTAACGCTCAAATGTTTGGTTTTTATTGATAATAAAAACTAATATACCCAACATTAATGCTTTTCAAAATTACCAACAAAATTTATAAACTCAATTATTTAACCAATAATGGCAACACGTTTTACGAAATAAACATCATTTTTTATACGCTGAGTTCGGTAAAAACACATCAAAACAAATTGCAGATTGAACCTTTCTGTAGAAAAAAAAAAAGCATAAAAACAAAAAAGCAGCAGCAATAACATTTATTTATCAAAGCAAAAAAAACGCCTTGAAATATCAGAAATTATATTGCTTTTTTTTTCTTTTTTTTTTTGAATAAACCTTAACTCAGTCATCAGAGCTAAGTTCTGTATCATTTCACACACGTCAAAGATTGATTGCCAATATAATTGTTAGCCAAAATCTTTGAAAAAAAAGAAAAGAATGTGAAACTAAAAATTGACTGTTTTCAGTAGTTTAAAGAGATGGATAAGTGAAGAAATTAAGATCTATCTGTATAAAACATTTTCAAAAGGCAAAAACTAAACAGTTGAACTGCTAAGCGAAAAAAAACAACTTTTATATATTTCACCTAAAAATCACTGTAGCGACAAACAGTAAAACTTTTCAATTTGTCGTTTAGATAAACAATTATGTGACCAATTTTTTTTATAACAGTTCAAAATAGTAAATTTTTTTTTTTTGTTTTCTTCTTAATGATCAGCTTAGAAAGTTTAATAATTACACAACAAATTTAGGACATCGTTACTTTGTTCAATAGTTTATTTTATTCAAATTCATTATTATGTTATTTCTTCGAAAAAACTGTACCAAATAATAACAGAAATATATTTTATGACGTACCAGCAATTACGAAAAAAGAGAATCTCAAGTTTTTTGCTTGTTTATGTATATATATTTTCTGTTTTTACATCAGTTATACAGCAATAGACAAATGCTAAATAACCTGTAGTTGTAAAGTGTCACGAAAGTTGAGCAAATATATTGTCTAAATGAAAAACATTCTATATTACTTGCTATCAAAAAAAGTTTTTTTTTTTATAAATTAGGTAAATATAGACGATTAAATATTAGACTAATAAACATACAAAAAAATTGACATAAATTACAGATATGAGAAAAAGGAAACAACAGCAACTGAGTGATTATTGCCAATACATTTTTTTAGTGCATCAAAGAGGTGTTGTTTCATTTAGTCACTGAACATTTGTTTCTGTAATATAAATATTGTTGTTAAATTGCTAAAAGACATGTTTTTGCTTATCATTTTAATGTAATTTTGATCAAAAAAAAAAAAGTACGAAAATTTTACAACAACAACAACAAAAAAAGATTAATTTAAGAAATTTTCAGTTCCCGACACAAAGCTGGTGTTTGGTTATATCAACTTTATTTTTATCCATTACTTTTTCTTATTATATTCTGTCAATGATCATCTAAAATAATGTATTGTTCAAACGATAACCAATTGAAAATAACGCTTTTCAACTGCTATAAAAAGAAACAAATTTAGTTACATGCTATCAATTTTGAAGAGATTAAATGTAATGTAATATCATTTGTATTTTTTTATTTTATTTGCAGCAGAAGCTTT